CTTTTCTTTAAAACCCAAACTTTCTTATTGTTTTCATCAACTTCAAATACTACTATCTAGAGACTTATTTTTAACCCATAAATAGATTTCTACAGGCGGCATCCCATATGTTCTTTCTTTCCACGACAAAACCCTTTGAGTTGTGCCATGTAATCGTTTTCATACAAATCCCCGTTGAGGAATGCCATCTTTACATCCATCTGATGTAACTCTAAATCGTAATGTGCCATTAACACCATTATAATTCTAAAATAATCCTTGCATAAGACTGGAGAGAAAACTCTCATTGTAATCTTTTCATTCTCTTTGCGCAAAGCATATTGATACAAGTCGTATTTTATATCTTTCTATATTTCCTTTAGAGTCACATTTTGTCTTGTAGACCCATTAACAGCCTACTGTTTTGGTTCCATTAGAAATTACTTCTAAGTCCCAAACGTCGTTGGTATTCATCAAATTCATTTTAACTTTCATAGCTTCTTGCCATTTAAACGAGTAAACGCTTCTCATGGCTTCTTCAAGTGAGGTGGGATCACCCTTCATTTGAATTTCTTTACTAACATAGACTTCGTTGTCTTTAGAAAAACTAGTTTACTAATTCTTTGAGACCTTCTGGAGGCCTCAACTACTGGCACTTTCATATGGGGCTGTTGTTGCCCTTCATTGCCAAGAGATAATTGATTCTACAGGCTCCTGTATCACAAGATCCTTGTTTATATTATTCATCTTCTTCGAAGAGCCAACAATAGGTGTTGTATAAGTCATACAACATCAACAGGTATTGAGAAATTCATTGTTTTGAATCACTGAAGTGGGCACGTAGTCCTGCTTCTCTTCAAGTCTTAGGTCTCTACATACCTCTACATAGCATGTTCCCCTAGATCTTCCCATCTTTTCTAAAGATAGTGTATCTTCAAATTTCATATTTTGGGTTTAATTTGTTAAAACCTCATATGGCGCTTTAAGAACCACCTTAACATCTTTGAGGCTGACTACGCTATTTTCCTATCGGAACTTTAAAATGTCCAAGAATTTAGCTATTTCTCTGCTTAGGGGTATCATTGTTGTGACCGTTGCACTCCTCCGACTGTTGCATACATCTTAATTAATCATTATCTCACTCTTAATGAAGAGTATCTTTTTTAATTAATCTTTATCTCACTCTTAATGAAGAGTATTTTTCTTAATTAATATTAATATTCCCCCCCTCAAAATATGGTATGAACTTTACTACCATAATTTTGAGAACCATTAAGAAAAATTGTGAACGAGGAGACATATAACTTACTTCATTCACATGATTGTGTCATGTAAACAAAATTATTTCTTGATCCGTTTAGGAGTACACTTTCTTTCATTCACTTTAAAAACTCAACGAGGTTTTTCATTAGTAGTACTTTTGTAAGTCACGCTTGCATCTTTTTCTTATCCTTTGGTTAGTATTGACCATAATGATGCATTTCTATTATGCCACGGTCAATACTTGGACAGCATAAGAGCTACCCAAACTCCTCTCGCTATGCGGGATACAAAACATGTGAATCATCACAAAACTTCTTCCGCCATACAGGATCGACTAGTACTATACCAAACTTCTCCCCATGCGGGATACATCCACTCAAAATTTAGTCATGATGACTAAAATATTCACTTATACTTCATCTTCCAATTAAATCTTCCCGTTGGTTCCAATTTAATCAGAAAATTAATAAACTAATAAAAAACTATCCTGAACTGGCTTGACTCAAGCCTTTTTCATCCACATACCCTAGCATTACAACCTGTTGACATGCAGCCGAGTGAGCTCGTTGGTTAAAATTAAACATACAATATGCTTCTGCATCAATTCTACATCACCGTTGGGCAGAAAATAGAATTAATACATAAAACTCATAAATTAACTTGAAATCCATACAACTACTCTTCAAAATTAAATTCTCCCGTTGGTTCAAATTTAATTGGAAGATAATCAATATCATGGCAGCGGAAACTTGATAACGAAATACATTCTATTATTTTAGGAGCATTTCTTGGTCCTTATCTACTCTCTGAAAAATTGATCACGTTGGTGTAAAATTTATCAGAGATTTAAACTTCAAACTTAAATTCATTATAATAATGTCATCATCAACGTTGGTAAAAAAATAACAATATCATAATCTTACATAAACAAAAACGGACTACTCCTCGAATTGAATTTTCCTGTCGGTTCCAATTTAATTAGAGGATAAACATAATCATAATTTCCTAAATATAACTGCTCTTCAAATCAAATTCTCCCGTTAGTTCGAATTTAATTAGAAGATAATCAATATTAAACTTTGCAGCGGAAACTTAAACATAATTAGTGAATTTTACCCACAGGAAAATTCTCTTTACTAATTTCCTTTGAGCAATTAATCATTTTCCAGGAAATAACAATTTACTGGAAAAAGAAAAAATAAAAATGGACTCAATTCTTTACTGTTGCCCGGCCCGATGGCAAAATCGGCCTAGCCTGCCTTGTGCGCGCGTGGGGCTCCCTCCTAGGCCGCAACCTGGGCCTTGGCCGGGAAAGCGGCTCGCTCGCTCGCGCCTGCCTAGGCCAGCCTCCGGCCCATCGCCTCTACACTGTTGATGCAGATTAGACGGCCACGCACGTGTTTCGGTGGATCAAAACCGGTGACAGCGACGCTCCCTCAGAACTCTAGCTCATTCTCTTCCCCTTTCTCTCTCTTCGCCCGCGACAACCCGCTCTCTCTCCCTTCTCACTCTAGAACTTCGGCGGTCAGATATGGTGGCGCCGCCGCGGTGCCCCTCGCTGGTGAGCGCGCTCGCCCGAGGCTGAGTGCGCCGCCATGGAGCGGCCTTGCGCCGTTGCCCTTGACCCCATGCTCTCTCTCTCCCTTTCTCTCTCTCAGTGATAGCAATCGAGCGCTAGAGCGGCAGCGACCACCGGAGCTGGCAAAGGGGTGGTGGTGCCGTTGCTGGCCCCCTCGCCGGCGCGCGTGCTCCCCAACGGGTGAGCATGGCGCTGTCGAGCGGTCTAGCGGCGACACCCTAGCACGTGTCGCGGTGCGCCGGCGCGGAGTCTTTCCCGGAGTGCTCCGGTGAGTGGAGGCCGGCGAGGTAAGCCGCCTCCCTAAAACTTTTTCCCTTATTCTTTCTACTTGATTCTTCTTTCTCTTCTTCTCGGAGCTGGTCTGATCTAGGGTTAGGGTTCGGGGGTTACTGTTCATCTTCCCCGATGGGTTAGCGTTCGGGTTGAGACACTGTTCTTCTTCCCCGACGGGTTAGGGTTCGGTTGAACCCTCTGCATCTCTGTTTCTTCCCCTGATTAGGGTTAGGGTTTCAATCCGAACCGGATCAAACCCTCTGCTTCTCTATCTCTTCGATTTCTTTTCAATTTTCTACCCCAAACTGGATCTACCTACTAGCAACCTGGCTCTGATACCATTGATAGAATCTTAGGATCATCTAGGTGTAGATTCGTGGGTGGATTCATCTCTATTTGGTTCAAATCGATCTAGAACATGAATCGGGAGAGGGGGACAGAGAAAGAGAGAGACCCATACCTTCGGGGTTGGCAGAGGAGATAGAGGAGGAAGTACAGTAAAGTCCAGAGGATGGGGCGCGGCAAGCACGACACGGCCGACGTCGACGGTACTGACATGATGGCCCTCCAGTCCTTTGTTCTTGTGGCACCTGCGTTTTCTTCTTCTCGTTCTTGTTCTGAAAAAACTAGGCGACGTACGAAGACGACATATTGAATGAACATGTCAAGTTGTACGAAGATGCCTCCTACCCAGTTAAGTGATCTGATCAAATTCTTCTCATCCAGTCTTCCTACTTTAGATTCAGAATGCCGATGTGCTAGCAAACTACAGGTAACTATGGCGCCGTTCTGCCAGTTCAATGTCAACAGGAGCCGGTGTACACGATGGACGCCGCGGGGTGCGTCGACGCGTGGGAGTGGGACAACGTCTCCATGACGCCGGCGATGCCCAACAGGGCGGTCGCGCCGCCGTGCGTCTGCAGCCTGCAGCCCCGGCCAGAGCACGTGGAGTACACCACCACCGACGTCGAGCTCTTCGAGTGGACGACCGCCACTTGGGGAAGAGCTCGTCTCTGTGCGTCCCGGCGGACAATGCTGGGTGCCTCACGCGGGGTGAGGGGATGCTACGTCCGCATCCACATCTGAATCTCCATCCCCACGGGCACGAATCTAACGCTGCAAAAATCTTTGCGCCATGAAACAGGAGTGCGCGGAGGAGGCAACAACAACACCAGCACCACATGCCGCCGCCGCACCTTGAGCTGGCGATGGCGCACGCGCGGGACGGAGGGGGCCATGGCCACGAGCACGAGGAGGAAGCTGAGGTGGCCATCTCTACCTGGACGGCAACTCTGAGGCTGGTGAAGCGCTCAGCGTGGGGCACGTGCTGCCGTCTTCCTCACAGTTGCAGAGGCTACTGGGAGAACCGAGTGGGGTGCGGAAGTAGTGGAAGTAGGGGTAGAATGGCCATTAATCTAAAAAACTGACACCCACGCCCAACGGTGCTACAGGGATGACGACAGTGGTACGTAGGGGACGAAATTTGTGAACCGGTGGTCGACAAGGAAGATAAACTTTTCTAGTGTCGTATAAGGAAGTTGTATATTTTATAATGTTCTATAGGGAATTCTCCTCTATTACCCCAGCACTAGCGACTTGACGATGCGGTCGGCCATGCCTATAGTTTTCCAATCGGGCGGCACTGGCACTACACGGCACTAGCACTACACAGCACGGCACTATCAGGCACGGTGTCACTGCCGTGCCGTGCCGTGTAGTGCCACCGTGCTCAGACTCTGGCCCAGGCACGGCACTAAAGCCCTCAGATAGTGCCGTGCCGTGCCACAGGGTTTGGCAGCCCAGCGGACTAGTGCCGTGCCTTGGCACTAAAACCACATCACCACTTCAACAGATCAGAATCAAAAGAACAGTTCAAAAACAAACTTGAAATCTGATGAATCTGAAATCACAGAAGAAAACACAAGACGGGAAGTGGGTCAGCAGCAATACGGTCGTAGAGTTCCTCGGTAGCACGACAGCCGAAGAGCTCCTCGTCATCCCCAGCGACATCGTCCTCGTCGTCTCTGGTCATCCCACAGAGGCGCAGCTCGTCGTTGATGGTCATGGAGAGACCGATGTCCTCCTGCTCATCCGACATCTCATCGTCGCCGGCCTCCGGTCCCTCAATGCCAACGCCTACCAAAACCAAGAACAACAAGAACACCTGGGGTTAATAGAAGATCATGAAGAAATCAAGAAGAAGAACAAAAACGAACAGATCTAGGGTTACGGCTCACCTCTCTTGACGGAGCACCAGAGACAACGGCGACGACGACGTCGCGGAGACCCGACACCCTGGTACCTCAACGCATCAGAGTGGAGCCCCAATGATGCCGGACTCCGGCGAGGTCGATGAGAGCGACGAGACAGAGACGAAGACGAACGGTGGTGGATCTCGACGAGAAAGCTACATCGACGGTCAGGGAGAAGGAAGAGTGGTGTAGAAGGCCGTGCCGTGTGCCCGTGCCAGCAACCGCCGCCTTAACCAGCCACCGGACGGCGGGAAGAAGAGAGGAGAGCGGCTATAGTTTCAGTCGATGGGAGAGCTCGATGTGGCCATGCGGCTGGAATGGGGACGGAATGAGCTAGGGTTTAGAAAGGTGGGGAGCCAGGAGCAGCGACTGGCTTATAAAGCCGTCCCACCCGACCCCTAGATCCAACGGTCATCAGGCGGGGGGGCTCCATCCAACGGCTCGAGGCCGTGCCGCCCCCGTGCCGGCCGTTGAAGCGGGCCGTGCCCGTGCCGTGCCATCGTGCTGGCATCGCGGCCCAGGCACGGGCACGGGGCCGTGCCGTGCTTGGCACGGGCACGGTAGCTGCCGGGCCGGGCCGTTTTCGTACCGGGCCAATTCGTATCGTGCTCGTGTCGGCCCAGCGGGCTTGGCCCGTTTGGAAAACTTTAGCCATGCCGTCGGCGAGCATGAACAGGTGCCCGGCGTCCGGCACCTCATGATCCAGGGCAGCTGCCGCGCGATGTGGCGCGACATGATCGGCGTGACTACACGGTCGTCGGCGCCGTGCCACAGGTGCACCGTCACTTCCTTTTCGCGGGGCGGCGGGTTGCCCAGCTCCAGCTCCAGCGGGCTGCAGTCCCACTCGCCGAACGCCACGATCATGTCCCGGTGCAGCGCCTCGAACACCCCCAGCTGTTTGACCTCCGCCCTGTAGCGGCGAGCTTGGACATGACGTCGAGGTCCGGCGGCGAGTAGACGCGGCGGTCGCGCGCGATGAGGCTGGAGGGAGGGAACCACCGCTGGGTGTTCCACCAATAGACGAGCCACGGCGCGTGTCGCGCCACGCTGACCGCCCACCGGTCCTGCGGCAGCTGCGCGGCGTACGCCCGCCTGGACACGCCGCCGCGGGGAAGCCGCGCCACCAGAAGTTGGCTACGGGCGACACGAGCGTGGCGCCGGCGACCCTGTGCGGGATGTGGGCGAGGCAGCTCCACACGACCTGCCCGCCCCTGGAGAAGGCGACGACGTGGAACCTGTCGCCGAGGCCGAGCTGGTCAGCGAGGTCCTGCTCCGTCTGGCACGGGTCCGGATCGCTCTCGCCGTACCCGGGCCGGTCGTAGGAGACGACGCAGGCGCCGAGGCGCCGGAGTAGGTCCTGCGACGCCGGGAGCACGTCGTGCCTGCAGGAGTCGAAGCCGTGGACGAAGATGATCTTGTGGGCGGCGGCGGCCCGGGGAACGCCGGTCTCCAGGTACGCCAAGTGCCTCCCGTCCCTGAGCTTCACCCTGGGCGCCGTCACCGGCGGTCCTCCCGGAGCGCCGCAGATCCTGGGCGGCGATGGCCTGATCGCCCGCTGGTACACCAGCCGGAGCAACGAGGCCAGCAGAAGCACCAGCGCGGTATTGAGCATACCTGCAGACGAATGCCTTTTTTAAGGAACGGATAGGTAAATGTAATTGTATACATTTCTCTTGTACTTTTAATTCCAACAGGAACCATGGAGCTTTTGTAAGAATAAAATTATTTGTACCTGCATATTCGAAGTCGATCATCCAACGGTAAGTGGCGAAACCTCGAGCAATCATATTTACAAAAATTATTTGTACGAATGGAGTGAGCCACAGCCACTGCAAGAAATCTGATTATAAGTGATGGAAAACCTATTACCTATATGATGATGGTTGATTTTGTGATTAATTTGCGTGTGGGTTAATTGGATGACGAAGAGATGGAATGGGATTAAGCAGAGTGCAGGCGGCAAGGAAGACAAGCACGCAAAGAAAATAGAGATGCTATTATAGCCTAGCTATATTACTTGGCTACGCAACAAACTTGACACCCTGTGTTAGCAAGCTCGATTCCATGGTGGCGTCAGCAGGATAAATGGAATGACTTCAAAATCCCAATTCAAATTTACTTGAAATTTGATCGAATCAAAATTTCCACGCACTGGACGTTTACAAACCACTTGGTTTATTTGGGCTGTTGGCCTGTTGCATTGAGCCCCCGTCGTCATCTCTTCACAGTTCCACTCGCCACCTTCTGTTACGCCGCGCCGCTGTCCCCCCACACACACACACTGGTCAGCCGGTGCCGTCCATGGCTCTGCTCCGCCTCCACCTCCACCTCCACCTCCACCTCCACCTCCCGAGGCCTCCGCTGCCCGCCCGCCGCAACCCCGCCCTCCCTTCCGCTCTCTCCTCCTCCACCACGTCGTGCTTATGGCGCGGCCATCTTCCTGCCTCGCGCCTCCTCTGCTCCAGTCGCCCCGCCTCGCCCCCGGACGACGCCTCCGCCGCCCCGCCCTCCATCGTCGCCGGCCTCCTCGACTACCTCAACGAGTCATGGACGCAGTTCCACGCCACAAGTTCGTCGGCAGGCCGCTCCCCTTCCCCGTCCCCTCGTCGTCCTCATGCCCGCCCACTGTTCGGCGATATGACTCCTCGCTAGCGCGCCACGCATTCCGCTACTGCCACGCTCTCACTTCCTTCTCCGTGCTTCCAGCTGAGGCCAAGAGGCAGCTGCTCGACGCGGGCTTCAAGCTGCTCAGCGAGAGTGATGACTGGGACCTTCAGCCCGGCGGCCGCTACTTCTTCACGCGCAACATGTCCTGCTTGGTCGCCTTTGCCATCGGGGAAAAGTCAGTCACACACCTCGCTCTCTCCTTACTCATATCATATCACGTGTGTCAATTGCCTGCCACTCGATATGAATGAATATGATTTCAGCTTACACTCGTACCCACTGCAGGTACAGAGTTGGGAACGGTTTCAACATAATCGCAGCCCACACTGATAGTCCCTGTCTCAAGCTCAAACCCAGGTCTGCCACCATCAAATCTGGCCACCAGATGGTCAATGTGCAGACGTACGGAAGTGGTCTGTGGCATACATGGTTCGATAGAGATCTAACTTTGGCTGGGAGAGTCATCCTCAAGGCTACAGATGGTTCCTTTAAGCATAAGCTTGTCAAACTCACCAGGCCGCTGATACGTGTACCTACGCTGGCTATCCATCTTAACCGGTTAGTCCTCATGCTCATCTTGTTACTTCTCTATCTTGTATTTTTTTTTTGAAAGATCTGGTTTCCCGGCTTTGATTTATAATAAGAAGAAGGTAGCAAACAGCCGGTACATGCGTGAGGGGCGCTACCATCCGCAGCCTAGGCTGCGGAAGTTTGAGGTTCTACATAGGCTTATTACATAATAAGTTGTGTAACTGTTATAGGCTTAAGTTCGCCACCACCAGCTCCCAAACAACATTTAGTCCACCTTTCCCAAGAACTCATCACGAACCCAGGCATTCCTAACTCCACCATTACGAGATCGGCCAGTGCTGACTCTAGTCTACAATACATGGATCACAGACGCAACAACACCGGTTTTGCATCTAAGCTTGAGGGAACCTCCATCTCAACCTCCTCCGTCTCCTGTGCTATAGCCGCTAGTGCTTCGGCTCTATCTTGTAAATCTTGTAATAATTACCAGGCATCCTGTATTATGCCTTGCCATTTCTCTTGCCAGTCTCAAACTCTCGATAAGTGAATATTTCTGTAGTTCGTTGTCCCTTCTATGTCTTGTAGCATATATTTCTTTATCTCAGTTTTTGTTTTTCCTTTTAATGAAACAATTGCCTTTGGCAGCATTGTTTCTGTTTTTCCTTTAGCATGCACCTCAGGATCTACCTTTGTATACTATTTGGTGTTATCCTTACTGTTTAATATTTTCGGTTTATTAAAAAAACATGGTCTTTCCCCTTATATGAATGAATTCCTTTTCATTGTAGCACAGTGAATACTGATGGGTTCAAGCCTAACCTAGAGACTCATCTTGTTCCACTTCTTGCAACAAAACATGAAGACACTACAAATTCTGATGACAAAAGCTCTAGCTCTACAAAAGTCACCCACCATCCACTACTTTTGCAGGTAACTCCAATTTCTCATATTTGCTTTTGGGATTCTCCCCATACTGTACGGAAATTTAGTTGGTGAATGTTACAGATGGCTTCTAGTTATATCTTTTACTATCTCTGTACTCCACAGATTCTCTCAGAGGAAATAGGTTGTGACTCAGATGAAATAATTGGTATGGAGTTGAATGTATGTGATACCCAGCCTAGTTGCCTTGGTGGGGGAAACAATGAGTTCATCTATTCTGGAAGACTGGATAATCTTGCTTCATGTTATTGTGCTCTCAGATCTCTCATGGACTCTTCCAAGATGGCAGAACAATTATCCAATGAGAAGGCCATAAGAATGGTTGCTATGTTCGATAATGAGGAGGTACACTGTATACACAAAAGTGCTGCTCTACATGAGCCATATCATATTAAATTTTACCCAGCTGGTGAAAAATATATGCTTACGTTTCTAGATTCCCGATCCTCAGTTGGATCCTATGTATGGTGGCTTATGCTTGATTGAACTAGCCATAAGCAAGAATCAGAACACTAGTATTCCAGGGAATGCTATTTTTTTTTCTAACTGGGTAATTTGATATTCATGTTCATTCCTGCAATATTCAGGTGGGTTCAGATTCAATGCAAGGGGCTGGTGCACCAACCATGTTCCAGGCTATGAGACGAATCATCGATTCCTTGATGCATCAGTCGATGGGGGAGGGAGCTTTGGAACGTGCAATACATTCTTCATTCCTTGGTAAGATTTGAACATGTAGGGCTCTAGCTTAATTCTATCGACCTTACTTGCTCTAGCTTAATTCTATCAACACTTCCAGTTTCGGCAGACATGGCTCATGCTCTGCACCCAAACTATGCCGAAAAGCATGAAGAGTGCCACAGACCAGAACTACAGAAGGGACTTGTCATCAAGCACAATGCTAACCAACGTTATGCCACAAGTGCTGTTACAGCTTTTCTCTTCAAAGAAATAGCAAGGATTCATAATCTTCCGGTTCAGGTGCTCTTTAGCTTTTTGTATCGTGGTTACTCCTAGCACTTTTTTATTGCATAACCCCAGTTATATTTGAAGTTTGAACGTATGGACACGCCCTAGCAAACAGAGGCAATGTTGATATTATTTTTCCTTGTTTTATCATCTACTGCTCATGATACACTGATACACACCTATAAAAATGTTGAATACTAGAGAAACAAGATGATAACACAATCACTTAGCCTTTCACTTGATGGTTTTTGGAGTGATTTGACTGATGTAAATACCACACAGGAATTTGTTGTAAGGAATGATATGGGATGTGGCTCCACCATTGGACCCATACTTGCTTCTGGTGTTGGCATACGGACTGTAGATTGTGGTATCCCTCAGCTTTCGATGCATAGGTATTGCTCAGGCATTTAACATTTCATAGAAACAGTTCTTTGTAATTGTATTTATAGACAACTTCTGAATCATATGTACACATATAAATGCATAATTAGTAAACTTAACCGAAAGAATAGTTTAGGTTGGCAAATATCTCATGCCATTGTTGCTTTTCTTTTAGACCTAGGAATTTTGCAGCACTGTATACGAACTTTACTATTTTGCATTGGTTGCAGTGTACGAGAAATGTGTGGTAAAGAAGACGTGGACACAACATACAGACACTTCAAAGCTTTTTTCGAGATGTTTTCTGATATCGATAGGAAGTTAAATGTAGATTTTTAAGCCCAAATCCTTATCATTGTTCTATGTTTGAATAAATTAATGGAAACTAGAACTATGATTGTCAAGCATAGTATCAATCTATCAAACACAGATTCTGATTTTTTTAGTTGATCTGATTTTTTAGTTTATAAGGAGGGCGATGAATTAGAAAATCTCACTCTTGGTCACTTTTGTGGTGATTTAATGGAGGAGATTATGGATGATGACAGGGATCACCTAAGTTGTGATTTTCAAGATGTCTTCAAGAAAAACAAAGGTACTTCCTCCGTCTTGAAATATAAGGAATCCAGTTTTGTCCAAAGTCAAACAAACCTTATTCAAACATGCCAATGAACAACGGAAGCATCCTTTACAAGCATTTGGTCACAGAACAAGAGCAGGGCAAGACCCTGAGCCGAGATCAACGACGAAAGTACTGAAGCTGTTCGTGTCTTCGTGTGGAGTGGAGCAGAAGAAATCTGAAGCAGGGGCGGTAACAGAGACGGTGAGAAAGGCCCAAGAGCAAACAACGAAGGAAAACAGTCCACTGCTATAGAAAAATACGAAACAAAGACAGCCTTGCTATGATACATTTCGGAAACAAAGAAAAATACGAAACACCGATCCAAAATCCAGCACGCCCTATTATTGTCCAAATTTAGTTTGCACAAAGACGAAGCCTTGCTATGCACAACGAAGAAATTCACTCCGGGCATAGAAAAATACTCCACTGGTATAGAGCAAACATGTAATAAGGAAATAGAAAGTTGGAGCTATAGCTAGGCACGGATGCCTAACCTCGGAAAAACGTGCATTTGCCCTCAGAATCCCAGGCATGAGAACAACATCAATTGCCTTGGTAACATTCTGATACAAGTTTCTAAACGGTACAGCAGCTCAAAAATGCACTTGGAAATGTTTACCATACATCCAGAATAAAATTCACCTTTTCATTAACTGGAGAGGTAAAAGCTAAAGGAACAGCCAATTTGAGATTATATAGTATTCTGGTGTTACACTAGATGATCATGGATGCAACCAGAATACATGGCGCAGCAAAATTGTCTAAAATCACACCCGATGTGGAGAATGCGAGTCTGCAAGCCAGTGAAATTGATTAATAATTATCAGCATCCTGCAGATCTGGGACGGCACTATCGCTGCATCCCTATTCTTGAACTGCCTCAGCTGAATCAACAACAAAGTAGACTGCAGAAACGCAGTTCGCCACAATTGCTCACAAGATGACAAACTCCCAGGTAGATGCTGCTCTATAAGTGATCAATCTCTATCCTTTCTTTTACCAGTTATCCACTCATCCTTATTTTCTGCCAGCCTCTGCTGCACCACGTTAGATGCCTCAGTTGGAGGAATTTCGTGGACAACTCCATTAGTTGTGGGAACTTCACCATGTTCTTTGCAGGAACCTCCCCTGCCAATACAAAGCCAAATCCTACCTCTCTCATCACCAGACTTCTCTTCCATCGGAATGTGCCAAGATCCCACTAGTGACTCCTGCAATGAAGACGAAATGAGCAACAGCAGATACTAAGCTCTAGAAAACACCTGAAAATAGACTACTTACTTGAATCTCTGAAGAATAAGGGGGTGGCATCACAAGTACCGCTTTTCCTTTATTAAAGGTGTACTTTACCTGCGCAATTGTAACAGAGTTTAGCAAATAACAATTAACAGTAAAAGATAAAATCCAATGCATGGAGCAGGTTAAGAGAGGATTAATTACACTCTTTAGTTCAAACTATGTAGTAGTATTCTAAGTTTCTAGAACCAGGCTTTCTGTGTAATAACCATGCACAGAGAAATAGCACTATATGATTGGTTTTGCAGAGCTCACCCGATGACATTGCTTCCACTTTGGAAAAAAGGACGACCCTAGAAGCTCGAATATGTGATCTCTCATTTCATCATTGGTCACAAGCAAACAATTTAGTTTGATTGCTGCATATAGCCAATACCTGCATGTTTGCATCTCATATAATTAGAAACATCCAGGAGGAAACATAACAATGAAGAAAAGTGAATAATCAACAAACTATGTTATTATAGATGTTTGCGATCTCTGCAGAATTACAGCATAAACAGGAAACACCTCCCAGTTTACTAGACAAGGTGGCCGCAAGGTCTTTCCATTGTCTTTGAGAATTGAGCATAAACAGTAAGTTCAGATATACTGAAGGCTAGAAACTGAGCATTACCAGTCATCATTTGACCCACTTGGTGAAGTATACAAAGCCCCATTTGTTCTCCAAGTCTCAATCAAATGTCTATTAGATGCATTTTCCATAAGCTTGGAAATTCGTTTATTATGTAGTATGATAAGTGGCCATTTCCCATGATATCTATCCCGTAGCTCTGTTATAACGGCATCCAGCTGCTCTATATTAAGCATGAGCAGTTGAACAATAATTAACACAAATTGCTTAATTATCAACATGAACATGTCAAAATTCAGTGTAAAGTGGTGCACAGACCTGAGTCAAACTGAAACCGCCCTCTGCAAAATTTTGTTGATACAGTGCAATATTCGCACCATCGACTATAGCTTGATATTCTTTATTTGCTTCCAACCACTCCTATAACAGTCACACTCAACATGTGAGATTATGTTCACAAATGGATATTGTTTCTAATACAGGGAGCAAACTAATAAATAAAGTTCTTTAAGCAAGGTCTCTAGCCATAGTTACAAGTTACAACAGAAGTTATAAGTGACAGCTTAGTTTAGTAACTAAGATCTAGGATCAGCTACATGAACAAGCAGTTAGAAACGATCACATTACACACTCAAAGCACACATCAGATTACCATTAGTAGTTAGTCTAAAAGATAGTAGAACACATTATCTCCCAGTCCATTTTCCCCATACTATTAATTCTCTGTGATTTAGCAAAAGAATAATCAACTATAGCTGGCAGTAAAATAACCAGAATGCCAACCTTAGCCACGGTGCCATATAAAGTTGAGAGATAAGTAATCACAGCAATGGGAGAGAGAGAGAGGGCACCTGAAATCGGCTGAAATTTGTTTTAGTCTCCCTCTCGAGGGCCAAACCAGCAACAGAATCAGCAAACCTCTGTGTCGCCTCCATGTCAATGTCAATGCAAGCGAGGTGGTATCTACACCCCCCACAGTGATCATCAGCCCCAACTCTCACCCGCTGCACCGTCCAAGGGCCGGTTCCAAGCCACCCAAGGCGGTGGCAGCCACCACCGTTGGCCACAATGGCGTCCTTCACCTGAGCTGCATTCCATTCAGACTTGCCGGCCATCGCCGCCTTGTCGCTCCTGAACCAGGCCTCCACAACTCCCGCAGTCTCCTCGCTGACGCAGTCCACGGTCTGCCTCAGCTTATGCATATACTCATACACCTTGTCCGCATCCCCGGCTCTGGAGCTGACATCCAGGAGCGCGGCAAGCTCGGGCTCCTCAGGCGAGACGCCGGAGGCCGTCATGTGCGCCTCGACAGCGTAGGCCTTGGCGGCCTCCCCGGCACGCCGGAACGCCGCCAGGACGGGCCCGTAGGAGCGGAGGCGCGGGGAGAGGCCGTACTTGTCCTTCATGGTGGCCACGAGCTCGAACGCCTCGTCGGCGGCCGACGCGGTGTCGGCGGCGGCGGCGGTGACGCGCGCGAGGGACGTGATGGTGGCCTCGGAGGGCGGCGCCCCGGCCTGGAGCATGTGGGCGAAGACGCGGCGCGCGGCGGCGGGGCCGGGGAAGGAGGAGCGGTCGGCGGCGGCGAGAAGGTGGAGGAGCTGGTTGTACTGGTGAGCGGCGAGGCGGGGAGGGGCGTCGGCGTCGCAGATGGCGGCGTCGAAGGCGGCCATGGCGGCGGCCGCGTCCCCGCGGCGGGTGCAGTCGGTGAGGGTGCGGCAGAGGTCGGCGTTGGGGCCCTTGGAGCCCCGCCGTGGCCGGCGGCGCGAGGTCGCCTTGGAAGCCATGGGGGTGACGGAGACGGCGACGGTGACGCGGCGGCGGCGGCTGGGCAAGGGTTGAGGAAGAGCCCTAACAAACGGCGGGAATTTAGGGGCGGTTAGCGTCCGCCACCGGCCCATAAGCTGCTTCAGCCCATGGTGGAGGTGGACAGCAAGCCACATTCCCAGTCAGGAGGATTAGTCCCGTATCGCCAGTTCAGTGTGATGACGCCGTCCTTATAAACGAACGCGGCCGCAGATCAAGGCGCGCCACAGGATGAGGTGAGCGGGCTTTTACTAGCCCTGGAAAGTCCCCGGGCCCCTTGCGCAGCGATGCGCCCACGGAGACGTGGACGGCCCACGAGCTGGCTCTCCCTGCTTCGGTGGGGGGCTGAGACACGTGTGGAGCCCAATTCAGGGAGCCGGCGCTGGGTCAAATGGCCAACTTGTCACAGTTATTCACTTGGTCCTCTTGGACTAACGGAACGGGGCTTACACTCCTGTGGCGCACCTTTTTTTTGTGGTGAGTTCCCTCTTCTCCCAATTCATATCATAACAAGGAAGGATTTTTTTTACTTTCTTGCCCTTCATTATCAGCTGGCCGAAGCCTCAAACATGATCAAGTTGTACACGCACGTCGGAGTTACGTGCCACGTCTCCGAACGATGCGAATCCGAAACAACTTTATTACAAGATCTACTGACATAAGAAACAAAAACCTCCTGAAGGGCAAGACAATCTTCATCAATCTCCTTCAAAATAGCAAGGAAGTATTTAATGATGAATCAATACCACTTGAGCCATGTAACTCGGCCAGCTGCAATGGGTATGGTTAATCAAATCCCTTGCACTTAATAGGTAGGAAAACAAACTCCTCTGTCTCAACACTAGAAACAATTAATAGCACTTGAGACAGTGCACAAGTGAGCATAGGTTTTCACTTGAAGAAGAGAACATAAGTTGGATATACTCGAAAAGCTTCTGCTACCTTGGGTTTGTAGTAAATCCCCTTCCCCGCACTGTGGTTCGTTTTGCTTTGATTCGAGTTTTATTTTGCTTTGTTTCTTTGGTTTTTGGTGTTGGTTGAAGC